AGTTGACACTTAACTCATCACAATGACCCTACTAATTCAGAATGAACTCCAAGTATAGACAACATCAGTCTGCAGAGGCAAAGACAGCCTGGGTAAATCCACTTGGCCACACTTGATTTCTTCTCTCTAGGCTACAGAAAGACAGCTATGTTCCATCTACATCTTTCAAAGTGTTGCTGAAGCTAGGTTTCTAGACCCACGCAAGTACCCTACAATACAAACAATGGAAAGAAACTTGAACGTTTAAAAGAGCAATGCTAATAATATGCACAGCCACCCAACTGTGGCTTAATTTATCCGAGATCAGGGAGAACAATAGACAGTCAGAGCTTAGGAGGTCACAGGAAAAGGGATCATTCATCACGTGACTTGTCTGAGCTTCTGGAAGAGAGTTCAAAGGGGCTAAATAAGTCCCTTTTCAAAGCCACATCATTATTGTCGTGTGCTTTAAAAATCACCTTCCTTGGTTTTGCACAGTGTCAAAAATAAATGGAGCTTATTTTCTGTGTGACACCATCTTAAGTATCCAGTGTTTCCTTTTATTTGTCTTTCTTCCATATTGAGTACACAAAAAAAATTTATATGAAGTTTAAAGAATGATATAATAACAATTACACTCTGACTACCTAATTGAAAAGAAACACATTATCATTATGCTAGAATCTCCTATGCAGCTTTCCTGACCCAATGTCCTCATCTCCCCTTTGCAAAGGCAATCCCCACCCTGAAATTTTGTTTGTCTTTTTTTGGTTAAAAAAGGTCATTTTACATTTATACTGTTAATATCACATAGTTAGCTGGGCCGCTGGTGGCTCATGCTTGTAATCCTCAGTATTTTGAAGTCTGAGAGCTGGAGTACCATGGTTCAAAGCCAGCCTGGGCAGAAAAACATCACTAGATTCTATCTCAAATTAACCAGCAAAAAGTAGACTGGCAGCATGTCTCAAGAGGTAGAGTACCAGCTGAGGAAACAGACCAAGCAAGTGTGAGCCCTCAGTTCACACCCCAGTTCCACTCCCCTGAGAAATAAGTAAGTAGAAAGAACATTGTTTAGCTTTGTACATTTGGGAACTCAAAAAAGTAGACTCACACTGCTAATATTTTTCTACAACTTGCTTTTTCCACTCAACTGTACATTCCTGAAATTCACCCATATAGTGGTGGGAAGGTGTAGTCCATTCATTTTCATTGCTATAGAGTCTGGATAGATTTTCAGAATTGACTTGTGCTGTACATAAGTTCTCATGGTTCTATCCTGGTCCATACTCACTATAGTTCAGCCACTAATTTTTATCCAGCAGGAAACCTTCATTCTGAACATTTGAAAATCATGAAACAAGCTGGGTATTCAATATATACTATGTAAAAAATGAATTGTGCAACGTGTAGGCAGGGATGGGAAGGAGGAACTGGAAGAAAGTGAAGAAAGAGGTGACATTGTCCAAGAAGCCTGTAATTTCAGCAATGGGGAGGCAGTGGCAGGAGGATCACAATCTCAAGGCTAGTTTGGGCTCCAGAGAGACCTTCCTTGTCTCTAAAACAAACATAAACCCGAGAACCATTTGCTTTTCTTTGTACCTCATATATGTTAAGAATGACTCATCTGAAAATCTAAAATCTGAAATGCTCCAAAATTCAGAGCTTAGCCAGGTACCTGTATCTCTCACCTGTAATCCTAGCTACTCAGGAGACTAAGATCTGAGGATCATGGTTTGAAGCCAGCCTGGGCAGGAAAGTCCACGAGACTCTTATCGCCAATAAAAACTACTCAGAAAAAGCCTGAAGTGGCACTGTGGTTCAAGTGGTAGAATGCTAGCCTTGAACACAAAGAGGCTCAGGGACAAAGCCTAAGCCTTGAGTTCAAGGTCCAGGACAAGACAGCTAGACAGCCAGCCAGAAAGAAAGAAAGAAAGAAAGAGAGAGAGAAAAAGAAAGAAAGAAAGAAAGAAAGAAAGAAAGAAAGAAAGAAAGAAAGAAAGAAAGAGAGAGAAAAAAGAAAGAAAGAAAGAAAGAAAGAAAGAAAGAAAGAAAGGAAGGAAGGAAGGAAGGAAGGAAGGAAGGAAGGTAGGAAGGAAGGAAGGAAAGCTTTTGGGTATTATGTTAATGCTCAAAAGTTTCAAATTTTAGATTTTCAGATCAGAGATGCTAAATCCAAGTAACTCTAAAATATTTGATATTTCTGGTCTCAAAGCAACCCCAGACACACACTGAGCACATTGTTGTATACTGCTGCTCATAAGAAATCTAACAGGAGATCAGGAAACCATTAAATGAACTGAAAATGTTGACCCAATGCAATGAGGCACAGATAAATGAAACTTGTCCTCTCATTTCACACAGGGCCCTGCTCTTCTCCACAGAGAAGTCTTTTCTGATCACCTCAACAAGCTACTTCCCTCCACCATCCTCTGGCATTTGACCCAGTTTCTTTATTCTTCACAACGATTATTAGACAATATTATGTCATGTAAGCCCCCATGAAGACAAGGGTTTTTGCTCTATTCATCGCTGCATCTTCGGCCTTTAGAAGAAGACTGGCCACAGAGCAGGCACTCTGTAGGTATTTGTGAAGGGAATGAATGAGGTGTGCATGTGATTTTCTGTGAGCACAAAGTAGGAGTTAGGGTTCAGTTTGACCTGGTTCTAGAGAAGGTGACAACTGAACTGAGTTCTTAGGCCTGGGTTAGGCAGCCCCTTTAGAGCCTACACTTTTTATTAGATTACATTAGTTATACAGGGGAGAGGGATAGATTACACTGTTACATTCATTATTCCATTTCTTTTTAAAAAATTGCTATTATAAAGGTGATATAGGGGCTGGGAAGGTGGCTCAGTGGTAGAGTGCTTGCCTCACATGCCTGAGGCCCTGGGTTCGATTCCTCAGCACCACATAAGCAAAAAGAAAAAAGCCGGAAGTGGCACTGTGGCTCAAGTGGTAGAGCGCTAGCATTGAGCTGAAGAGCTGAGGGACAGCACCCAGGCCCAGAGTTCAGGCCCCATGACCGGACCCAAAAAAAAAAAAAAACAACAACAAATAAAGGTGATGTAAAGCGGGATTACAGTTACAGAAGTCAGGTACTGAATACATTTCTTTTTGGATAATGTCACTCCTAACCTTGCTTTCTCCCAGTTTTTCCCTCCTGTCCCAAACCACAATACATTTCTTTTTTTTTTCTTTGTCGGTCATGGGGCTTGAACGCTGTCCCTCAGCTCTTCAGCTCAAGGCAAACACTCTACCACTTGAGTGCCGCTTCCGGTTTTCTGGTGGTTAATTGGAGATAAGAGTCTCATGGACTTTCCTCGTCTGGGCTGGATTTGAACCATGATCCTCAGATCTCAGCTTCCTGAGTAGCTAGGATTACAGGCGTGAGCTATTACCACCAGACACATTTCTTTTTTATTGTGATTTTTTGGCAGCACTGAGGTTTGAACTCAGAGCCTTGTACTTCCTAGGCAGGTATTATACAACTTGAGCCAGGTCCCTAGCTCTTTTGCTTTTTCATTAATTTTCAGATGGAGGTCTCACATTTTTGTCAGTGGCCAGTCTCAAACTATGATCTTCCTTCCTATACCTCCCCATGTAGATGAAATGACAAGCATGCACCACCATATCTAGCTTCTTTGCCCAGGTTGGCATGAGCTTAACAAGGATTCCAGGCAAAAGCCCACCATTCCTAGTTGATAGGCTTTTTAAAACATAAAATGATGGGCTGAGAAAATGGCTTAGTAGTAGAGTGCTTGCCTAGCATGCATGAAGCCCTGGGTTCGATTCCTCAGTACCACATGAACAGAAAAGGCCAGAAGTGGAGCTGTGGCTCAAGTGGTAGAGTGCTAGCCTTGAGCACAGAGAAGCTCAAGGACAGTGCCCAGGCCCTGAGTTCAAGCCCCAAGATTGGCAACAAAAACAACAACAACAACAACAACATAAAATGATTCTAGAAATAGTCTTCTTCAAGGTTTTCATCTTCAAAGAAACAATACACAGACAGCCAATTGTTTGCTCCCAAAAACCTAATTCTCATTTCTATAGAAGTAATAACCCCCTTTGCTTATTTTAGCAAAATTTATAGTGACAATGATGAAACTTGAGAAAGTTATTATCTGTGTAGGGACCACGAGTCAAGATACCAGGCAAAGATAGGAAAGCCTTGAAAAACTCTTGTCTAAACTAGGCCTTTCTGTTCATGTAATCATCTTAAATTAACAAAAGAGTCATAATACTGGGCTGGGAAGGTGGCTCAGTGGTAGAGCGCTTGCCTTGCATGCCTGAGGCCCTGGGTTCGATTCCTCAGCACCACATAAGCAAAAAGAAAAAAGCCGGAAGTGGCGCTGTGGCTCAAGTGGTAGAGCTCTAGCCTTGAGCTGAAGAGCTGAGGGACAGTACCCAGGCCCAGAGTTCAGGTCCCACGGCCGGACCCAAAAAAAAAAAAAAAAAGTCATAATACTTAGAAGTAAGACAGAAGTAGATTATAAAGCTCACATAATAAACTTAGAGAGAGGCTGGGAATGTGGCTTAGTGATAGTGTTTGCCTGGCATGAATGAAGCCCTGGTTTTGATTCCTCAGTACCACATAAACAGAAAAAGCCGGAAGTGGCGCTGTGGCTCAAGTGGTAGAGCTCTAGCCTTGAGCTGAAGAGCTGAGGGACAGCGCCCAGGCCCAGAGTTCAGGCCCCACGACCAGACCCAAAAAGAAAAAAAAGTGTAGCTAGGAATACAGAAGTGGGCTGGAATTCAAGGGCACCAAAGAAAATGCTCAATGCTTCATCTCAGCAAATAAGCAGTCTATATTTGCCAGAAAACACACCTCCCAATGATCCATCATTTACCAGAAGATACATAGAGTTGAAAGAGACAGCTCTAGGTTAGCATTTCTCCTGCTTGCTCCTTTTGGCTGGCCAGGTCTTATGGGGAAGCAACAGCTGCAACACTGGATGGAACAAAGCCCCACAGACTAGCTCTTAACCATCCAGGGGATCTAACAAACGGCAAAGACGCTTACTTGGATGCTACAGGAGAGGATGCCCTCTTAGGAGTATCTCCGGAAAGCTCGTGTCGTTTCAGTGGGGACCCAAGGCCCCCAGGTGGAGCAGAAGCCGTACCTCGTTGTCCTTTCTTCACCTTCTCCATCTGTAGGGGACACAGAACAAGACGGTTATTGTGAGTGGCTGATACTCCTTACCACAATTTCTAAAAATATCCCAGATGCAATTGGCACACGGCTTTAAGAGGAATCAATATAAAGCTATGATATGCTTCGTGTGTAATGTGCATCACATTTAGGTCATTCAATAGAAGGCTCCCACTTCCAGTTATCATACCAAGAGCTAACAATAGAACCATACTTTGTTCTTGGACATATGGAAGAGTTGAAAAGCATATGTTAACTATTAAAAAATTACAGGTGTGTGAGAATGTGGTTACACTATCCAAGACAGCAACTTTGGATGGCATACATGGTAACGGGACTGCGACACTCCCACGTCTTTGAATTGTCCCCTTCCTTTGTCTAGGAAGAAGGCAGAAGAACAAGGACACCAGTGACTCCATAAGGATCACTTCCTTTCTTTCCTCAATATGCTTTCCTGAAGCCAGTCTTCATTTGGCCCACATCTACAACCCCCCCCCCCCCCACACACACACCCAGTAACTCATCCTACAGCAAACCTAAGGGTCAGAAGCATTCACCTCTTTTGTTGTTGTTCGTCATGGAGCCTCATGCATGTAAAGCAAGCACTCTACCACTGAGCCACCTTCCCAGCTCCTCACCTCTTTTTTTTAAAGACCCTCAGGGCCACAGTGAATGTGTAGAAATATCCCACTGGGGATGATGCCCAGTACTACAAAAGTAAAATAAAATAATGCAGCATTATGGTGGTTTTAGCATTAAGGCCTCCCTTCAACAGGTGGAGTTCAATACCCCCTTGATTTTAGATTGCTCTCAGCAACTTCCTTTGAATAAATAATGTGACAGACGTGACAAGTTGGACATGAAAGTTACTGCAGCTTTCTTCTTTTTTTTTTTTTTTTTTTTGGGGGGGGGGGTCCGGTCGTGGGGCCTGAACTCTGGGCCTAGGCGCTGTCCCTCAGCTCTTCAGCTAAAGGCTAGCGCTCTGCCACTTGAGCCATAGGGCCACTTCCGGCTTTTTTCCTTCTGCTTATGTGGTGCTGAGGAATCGAACCCAGGGCCTCAGGCATGCAAGGCAAGCGCTGTACCACTGAGCCACCTTCCCAGCCCTGCAGCTTTCTTCTTGTACTCTCTCCCACGTCATGGGCTCTGGGAGAAGCCAGTTACCATGTGATTTGGATGCTCAAGCAGGTTTGCCCTAAGAGTAGTAAGGAAGTAAGGCCTCTGGTCAGCGGCCATGAGAGGAATATGTAGAACAGGACCAGTCCAGCATTTTGACTAGAGTCTCATGAGAGACCCCATACCAGAACCATCTATCTCTCAACTGAGCAGCGGTCAAGTCTGACCCCAAGAGCCCACAAGATAAGAAATATTTGTTGTTTTAAGAGGCCAAGGTTTGGGGTACTTTGCTGTGTAGAGCAAATGGTAACAGTAAGTAGGCACCCACAGAGGCCCAGGACTGGATGGCCTTAAAGAAGCAGGGATGACACTGCAACACTCCTTCAAATTTCTGTCCTTTAGGCTGACAGAAGCATTAAACTCAGGTCAAGGGAAGGAAGTAATTACACTGTTAGATACAGCACAGTGGGAAGGGATGTAGTGAGCAAGTGAGTTTAGACTTACAGAAGATGCTTCCGCTCCTGCCTGAGCATCCTTCCCAGCCTCTCCCGCGCCAGAAGCAGATGCAGCCTTCTTCCTCTCCATGGTTCGGGTAGGAGAAGATTTGTATGCAGATCTAAGAGGGCTAGCAGGAGCTATACGAGGGCAAGCATGGAAAACTAGAGGGTTATAGATAATATAGCCAACAAAGATGGAGTGCAGATCAGAAAAGCGAGGGGTGCAGAAGTTGAGAAGAACATTTCTATTAAAATGTAACACAGGAAATCCACATTGTCAAAACTCTCCTTTTTCTGTTGTACACAGAATGGATCCCATCTTTAAAAAGCTCCCAGACTCAAAAGTCAAATTCATTTCAGGGGTTAACAGTCTGTACTTTGGAGTAAGACAGATTCCATACTGCTACTAATTAGTTAGATCACCTTGGGCAGCTCTAGAGAAGACCTCAGTTTCCTTATGCAAGAAGAATTAACCTGAGGATCGGTGGCTCATGCCTGTAATCCTAGCTACTCAGAAGGGTGAGAACTGAGGGTTGAAGGTCAAAGCCAACCCCGAGCAGAAAAGTCTGCGAGACTCTCCAATTAACCAGCAACAAGCTGGATGAAGAGCTGTGGCTCAAGTGATAGAGCACTAACTTTGAGAGAAAAAGCCAAGTGAGCCCTGAGTTCAAGCCCCAGTACTCACACACAAAAAAGAACTTCACAGCAGTCCTGACCACTGTCCTTGGAAGGGCCTGTTTAAAATGTTGGCTCTTGGCTGCTACCTAGAAACTTAAGATTTCAAGGAAGTTCCTACAATTAGCTGCTGGTCCTAAACTGTTTATGTAAATAACACATTTCTGGGTTTCTGAAATTTGGGTATAGGACTAGCATAGGTGCCTATATAACTAGTCCTGAGTAAAACTCCTAAGCACAGAATCTCTGTCTAGAGTGTTTCCTTACTTGGCAATTATTTCACAAGTGTCATCACAATTCATTGCTGTGTAACTCTACCAGGAAAGGATCTTTGAAAAGTTGAACATGCTTTCCTCTGGCCCTCTCACCATGTACTTCTTCCCTTTGCTCATTTTTCTATGTATATTTCTGGTGAATCATCTAACCTTAGTGGTCTCAGAAAACCCAGCTACAATTGGTGTCAAAAGTAGACATTGAGCCAGGCACCAGTGGCTCATGCCAGTAATCCTAGCCACTCAGAAGGCTGACATCTGAGGATCGTGGTTTGAAGCCAGCCAGAGCAGGAAAGTCCATGAGACACTTATTTCCAATTAACCACCAGAAAACTGGAAGTGGTGCTATGGCTCAAGTGGTAGAGCATTAGCCCTGAGGAAAAGAAGCTCAGGGACATCACCCAGGCCCTGAGTTCGGCCCTGAGTTCAAGCCCTAGGACTGGCAAAAAGAAAAAAAAAAAAAACAAGAAGTGGACATTGGTAGACTGATCCTGATTCACTAAAATGTAGTCAAAGCACCATTTGGGAAAAGGTGGGATAAAGGAATAAAGGATGAGGAACTTGTGGGCCTGGGTGATCATGGAGTCATCCGCTGTATGACAGGTCAAAGCTGCCTATGGAATTTGAAGATAACAATTGCAAAGTCCAAGAGAGTTGGCTCGGCGGATTCCCTGGCTACTCCTATCCAGACTAGCTCAAGTGAGGCAAGAATGTGTGGTCTACATGTCTTCGTTTTTTAGTTTTCTCCTCCAAGTGGAAGAGAAAGTTTTCATCTTTTTTTTTTGTCATCAGTGGATGCTGGCACTTAAAACTCTGAATACTGGAACTATAACAATTCCTATAGCTAAACTTTCCTGCTGAGAGTTTTAAATAGAGCCTCTGGAAAAAGGGAGATATGAAAAGAAATGTGATTTCCAGATATAGATATACTCTGGAGGGTGGAACATCAACTGGGGACTGGTGTAAAAATAGATGGTCCCAACTGGGCACTGGTTGCTCGCGCCTGAGATCTGAGGATCTGAGGATCACGGTTCGAAGCCAGCCAGGACAGAAAAGTCCTCATGAGACTCTTATCTCTAATTAATCATTTAAAAACTGGAAGTGGAACTATGGCTCAAAGTGGTAGAGCACTAGCCTTGAGTAAAAGAGCTTAAGGACAGCATTCAGGTCCTGAGTTCAAGCCCACAACCAGGAAAAAAAAAGTGGGAAGAAAAAATATATCCTAGATATTGCTGAAGCATCTGGGTTGTTTGTTTGTTTTGTCAGTTGTGGGACTTGAACTCTGGGCTTGGGCGCTGTCCCTGCACTCTTCAGCTCAAGGCGAGCACTCTACCGTTTGAGCTACAGGTCCACTTCCGGTTTTCTAGTGGTTTATTGGAGATAAGAGTCCCATGGACTTTCCTGCTCGGGCTGGCTTTGAATCTCGACCCTTGGATCTTGGTGCCTGGCAGCATCTGGATTGTACAAAAGTATACGGTTCTCTGATTAGATCACCCAAAAGATGATCCTGTCTTTCTAGAGCCCCAAAAAAGTTGCAAGTTGGCAATGAGACCCCTATTCACACCCATGACAAATCAAATTCTATTCCCTCTAGGGGATGCATCACTACTTCCCTTACTTTCTTCCCAATATACCTTTGTAGAACTATCTGTTCAATGTAGCTGGGAAAGGATTGATGGTTTGTGGGGGTTTTTTGCTTTGTTTTGTATTTTTGGTGTTGGTCCTGGGGCTTGAACTCAGGGCCTAGACACCATCCCTGAGCCTTTTTTTCTCAATGCTAGTGCTCTACCACTTGAGCCATAGCTCCACTTCTGGCTTTTTTTGTGGTTAATTGGAGATCGTCTCTCCTGGACTTTCCTGTCTGAGCTAGCTTCAAATTGTGATCCTCAGATCTCAGCCTCCTGAGTAGCTAGGGTGAGCCACAAGCGTGTCCTGCTGGGACTGATGTTTTTTAGACAAAAAGGGTAGGGGGTGAAACAGACTCAAAAGGAAGTGATGAAGGAAGCCACCTGGCTACCTAACACAGCTCTTGATGGTTAGTGAGAGTTGGTTTAACTGCTAAATCTAGAATTCCTAATGGACATAAAGAGGTCAGTATCCTAGGCTGCTCTCATCTTGCTGTGTGGGTCTTCTGGTCAAAAAATACCTTGGCAAAGGGTCAAGGGGTGGACTGTGCAGACTTGAATGCTCTGCTTACAAGGTTAGGCCACAGCCAGCATCTAAGAACTTCAGACGTGGGCAGGGTTCCCACCGTTTGTGGATGAGTGGCTCACTGTGCTTCAACTGTTTAATATGGTGTATACTGAATATCCTGCTTTCGACCTGGGAATCTGCAATTTTGGTGTGTGCTGGGCAAGGCATGCACATAATCAGGCCCAATTAAAAACCCTAAGTACGGAGTCTCTAACCAGCTTCCTTTGTGGGCGACACTCTGTACCTGCTGTCGTGATTCCCTGCTGGGGAAATGGATCCCCAGTGCCTTCCAGAGCGTGTGCCTGTTTTCCCCTGGACTTTGTTGCTGCTATGAATAATTATGCTAAGAACATTGTGTACAAGTTTTTCTATGCTTTTAATTTCTTTGGCTCTATACTTAGAAGTGGTACTGCTGAGTCATATGGTAGGTAATCTATGCTTAGGAGGTTTAATGTCATTTACATGTTATTTCACTAAATACACTGTGTCTTGGGGCTGGAAAACGCAGACCCAACTTACAGGGACATGGCATTGCTAATCTGCACACAAATAATATCAGCCCTTGTTAATCCTGACATGATGATTTGATATGAGTGAGTAAAGGTGGGACTTTAATGGTCTGGTCCCATGGTTTCTCAGACTTTAATGTGCAGCTATAGAGGGTCTAAGTGTAGGCTGTCCTGAAGTTTCCAGGTGATGTTGTCATTGCTAGTCCATCAACCAGCTTTTTAAGTTGCAAGGCTGATTTCTTAATCTGTGTCATCTTTCACTCCCTCCCTCCCTCTCCTTCATCCCATTCTCTCTTCCTCTCATTCATTCATTCGTGTGCCACTAGTAGGGCTTGAATTTGTAGCATTTTGCTATTACGTATCTTTTTGCCAGAGTTTGCTCTACCACTTAAGGCATGCATCCAGTTCTGGCTTTTTGATGGTTAAGTGGAGATGAGACTCTCCGGGATCTGTCTACTTGGGCAAGATTGAATCATGATCCTTAGCGCTCAGCCTCCTGAGTATATAGGATTATATGTATGAGCCACAAGTGCCTGGCTCTACTCTCTCATTTATAGCATTATCCTATTTAATTCTTGTAACAATTTAATACTAAAATTTTGAGGTGAGGGGGGGGTCTCATTTCATTGCCCTTGAATTTACAACCTTCCTATCTCAGCCTCCTGAGTAGACACGTGTGATCACTCCTGGTGCTCACAATTTAAAGTAACTTCCATTTTATAGATAGGCAAACTGAGGTTTAGAGAAGTTATAAATCGACTTTCTGAAAACATTAAAAGCTAGTGAGTGATACAGCTAGCTTTGGAATGCCAGAGACTGTTCTACTGGCGACCTTGCCAAACCACTTCCTATGCAAAGGCTACTAACCTTCATAGCATATCAAGTGTTTGTTTTTTTTTCCCCCCAAAGCACATAGCCTTAGTCATAAAACAATTTACTCACCTCTGTGACACTTAAAAGAAACAGCAACAGCAAAACACTGGTAGGTAGAAAATGTTATTAACCAATAAGACATTTTACAAAGCCAGCAAATGGCAAGCAAAACACAAAACTTCAGGAGTAATTTCCAAGGCTGACCAACACTGCTCTGATCATTTTCCTTGGTGTCACCAGCTGAACCTCTTTTACCTGCATCTCTGGCCTGCTCAGAGAACATGAATGCACTTCTGCTTCTGGCTAAAGAAGCCTGTGTGGGTGTCAACAGTCGCATAACAAGAAAGTTTTCCATAGGACTAAGGTGAGTGCGACGAGCTAAAAGATGGAATCAAATGAAAACATTTAAAAAGCAAAATTAAAAGAAAACCAAAAAAAATGTTTCAACAACACAGTGCATGCATGATGCAAATTAAATTTGGGGTGGCAGAACAAATGTGGAAAATAAAGATATTCTAGTGGATAAATGGCTTTGGAATTTATCACAGGAAAATAAAACAAATGCTGCATCATTTAGACTTTGGGAGAGTGCATTAATTCTCTTGGGGCACCAGAATTTACTTAACACACTATTACAGTAGAGTGATCTGTATCACGTAAAGGAAATCAGCCCATCTCCCAAGATGTTAATATAGTCATTCCCTCATCTAGTACACTTACCAGTGACAAAAAAATTACAGCTACAAAATGCTCATTTTAGGTCCTCTGCTCAGATATTTTATAACAGATTTTAAATGAAATATGCCATCCTATAATAATACAAAAATAGATCCTTTCATATCTTTTCCCTATAAATAAGGGTCAAAACTGAACCAGAAGACATGAAAATATGACTATCAGCTTTAATGGAGGATAATGGGATTCATAATTTAAAATTCAATGACCAAAATAGCTTAATGGTTTTGGAATATATTATATGGCAACAGATTCAAAGAATTACTTTGTATTCTTTGGTTTGAGGATTATACATTTTCAATTTATAATTTACCAGCAAATAATTTAGTTGTCAATAGCATATAATAGCATGTATATGTTCACATGTTAATCAATGCAAAAAAGAATTTACCATCAATCTGTAACCATGTGAATCTTCAAAAACATATGGGCTTTATTCATTAATGGAATAGTTATAAAGAGTATTTGGGAGGGGTGCCTGTACTGGGGCTTGAACTCAGGGTCTTATGATCTCACTTGGCTTTTTTGCTCAAGGCTGATACTCTGTAACTTGAGCCACAGCTCCACTTCCGGTTTTCTGGTGGTTAATTGGAGCTAAGAGTCTCATGGACTTTTCTGCCTAGGCTGGCTTTGAACTGTGACCCTCAGCTCTCAACCTCCTGAGGAATTAGGATTACAGGCATGAGCCACCAGTGCCCACCAAGAGTGTGTATTTTCTTGTCCAATTCTTCCTTCCTTCCAAGTTCCTATGGTGCTGACCTATGAAGGGCACCAGAAATCAGTGGACTCTTGACACTCACAGGTGCTCTGACATACACGCCCTGTCTCTGTGATACAGTAGTGAGGCCAATACCAGTGAACCATAACCAGGAAAGCCAACTGGTCACTTGTAAGTCACAAATGTCTTCCTGCTCACCACTTGTGATGGCTTGATGTGCCCAATACTCAAACTAATGCTCCCCCCTTCAGTGGAGCTTTAGGATACATATGTAACACATGGAGAAGCCTCTCCTTCCAACCTTTATACCATGAAAGACATAAATTCAGGCTTCCAATGACTTATCTGGACCTCCATTAGAGCACAGATGTTATTAAATCTATTTGGGTACTGGAATTGGTCCCTAATAAGCATCATCTCCCAACTCAAAACAGTGCCGGAAAAGACTAGCCATCCTTTCCCTCTTTTAGACACCTCAAATTACTTCTGTTTTCATCCATCAACTTGGCAGCTCTACAAACCGCGAACAACTTCAGAGACCCATTTTTTTCACAAACAAAGTTCCCTCCCCCCCAATAAACATCTGACTCATCAATTCTGTTCTTCCTGGCTAATCAATTGTATCTTGTCCCTGATTAGGTAAGTACTTTTTAAATTCCTCCATGCTCTGTGGCAAGTGACTGGTTTCTCACAGACTGGGAAAAGATGAATTCCTGTCCCTATTCAACAACAACCTGGGTCTAAGAAGCAATGCTGCTTTCCAGAATCCTGTTAGCAAGGCCGTGGAGGCTAGGACCAAAGCACTATTTGCAGAAGGCTCAAGGAAGGGCGCTCAGAATGGCCAATGTTAAGATGCTCACACCAGAAAGAAGCAAACGGGAGAGACTAGGTCTACACATTCACTTGCCTCGGTCTGGGGAATAGGATATTGCCACGGTGGATGAAGACAGGCGTTTACTCATGGGAGGCTCCGTCTGCTTTGGCAAATTCATGGTTGATGTTGAAAGTTTGTCACATGCTGCAGAGAAACGCATTAAAGACATTGGTATTCACACCGCTGTTGACAGAGAACCACATATTCCAAAGTGTCCTTCCTGTCCTCATCCACACACCACCAGCGGAGTCCTGCTGTAGCACAGCACACTCGGCATCCATGATTCCCTCATCATCTCATGATCCTAACCTGGAAAATACTCGAGCTCTAGCAGTTATCCATCTATAATTTCTTCACCATGTACTTCTCTTCAATTTCAAATGTCCAAGTTCACACCGATGTTCAACTAAAACCATACCCTAACCTCAAAGCATGTTTCGTGTGTGTGTGTCCAGAGAATTTTTTTAAAACATATTCATACCACACGAAAAAAAAAAATGCGGACCCAGAGACAAATCACTAATTGAAAATGTCCTACAGTCTGAATGAGACCCTGTGCCGAAACTCAATTTTTCTATGGCTCAGTTTGGAGAAAGATGTAATCTGGAACACAAGAAGCTATATTTAATAGAGATCTACCTTAAGGCAGTCTGTTTTGGTCCTCTTGTGAAGAGATGGGGTTAAAATGTCCCTTGCATAAATGCTGCAATAGTTTATGGTTAGGATTTAACACGAAACCCTAGATTTGGTGTTCTGATGTTCAAGCCATTATTTGAGATGTTTCTAAACTCAATTATTACAGACAACTGAGAGATTCTGTCAGTGCCCAGCTCAGCTATGCTACAACCTGAGGTTGAAAAAAAAGTATGCCTATCACTGCGGAGGAAGCAAATTCATCAATATTTTCTGCTCATTTTATTTTCAAAGACAAGAACTGTCAGGTCTGAAAATTGCCACTACCTGGCAATCTTAAATAATTTTAGTGAACTTAAGCTGAAGTCAAAATACAGTGTAGTTGGATTGGGGATAACACGACATATTTCAACTTGAAATTGTATTCTGTAAAACTACTTTTCAATTTCTGGAACTAATTTAATTTTCTGGAAAAGTAGTTATTAGAAATGATATACAACAATATATGCAGGGATGCACATTTTTCCCTTTTGCCCCAGACTCTAATATGGCTCAGTATGACATTGATCTTTAGAAATTCAGTATTTGGGGATGGGGTTATAGTTCAATGTTCAAGTAATTGCCTAAAATGGGTTACAGAGAGAGGGAGAAGGAGGGAGGAGAGAAAGGAAAGGAAGGGGGAGACGACATAGAGGTAGGAATGAAGGGAGGGAGGAAGAAATCTAGTATTTTATTATGGATTGTATTAATTTTTATTTTAAAAAATACTTCACTGAAAATGATTGTTATCTGATGACTGGCATTTTGGGGGTCCTCTTAGTGTGTGTGGGTCACTCTTTCCTCTCACCAGTCCTGCCTTGGGTATTAATTCAAAGTGAATGATTGTTATACTTACTCCCCTCAGTAAGGGAAGGCCAGTATCTCATTGTGCAGCAAAAATTGTCCTATTACACACCACTAATAAGGACATTATTTGTCAAAGGAAATGACAGAAAGCAAGGATATCTCTTTCTACTGCTAATATGACCGGTATCACTGGGAAACATTTCATCCTCCCCCCTCCCTTTTTTATTTGGTTTGTACCGAAGATTTGAGTCATGGCCTCTGGCTCACTCTGCTTGCTTACTCATGGCTGGTGTTCTATCACTTGAGCCACCCCTCTAGCGTAGCTTTTTGCTGCTTAAGTGGAGATGGACCCTCATGGGCTTTTCTGCTCAGGCTGTCTTCCAAACTTAACTGTCCAGATCTCAAGCTCCTGAGTTGCCAGGATTACAGGCATAAGCCACCAGCACCAGCTTGTATCTCATATTTTGTTGTTGGTCAGTGAAAGGCGGGTTGTATTTCTAAACTCATGATTAAATGGGAGCTAAGTCTTGCTAGTTCTGCTCTTACTAGGCCATTAGGGTTCACCAGGCCTGCATCTCAAACAGAAGCCTTTAGAGAGAAAGAGATGACATCAAGCATAAAGGCAAGTTTTCTAGTTATTTGGAAGTCCCAGTGTTCGAAATACTGATAAACTCCCTATGACACCCTCTCGAATGCTTCTCCCAGAATCCATCACACTAACACCAAGTATTCTACTTCAGAGCTCTGTGAGATTTCTGCTTTGTGAATCTCAAGTGATACTTCACCACTCAGTGCCTTAGACCAATGATTAATGAGACTGTCAAAGATCTAAGTGCGCAAAAATCAAATATTGACAGGATTTCTAATGTAAGAGTTAGTGAGCTGAAGATGAGAAGCCTCTAGGACACTAAGACATAAGTCATGCACAGCTCCACGATGACAGAGAAACAAAGAAGTATGGGCGTGCCATTCACATCTCTAGAAGAAAAGTTGTAACTGGCCAGATTAAGAAACCCGTTGTGAAAGTGCTTGAGACACACAGTGATGGAGGAGGGTGGTCAGGACAGTTATCACAGCATGCTATGCACGGTGATGCTTGGATATACCGTTGGTAGGCTCGGCAGTGGTGGCAGCGGTCCCTGCATCCGGAGGGAGGGTGCTGGCTGCTAAACCTAGAGGAAGGGGTGGGGCATTTTCTGATTCACCTACACAGCAAAAAAAAAAAGATCAGAGCAAAGAGAGGTAAAAGAAAAAAGTCCTGATTGGTTGTTGCATTTTAATTGCTAATTAGGAAATGAGAAAAATAACTCATGGGTTGTTGACTTCTCACCAAAGAAAGGGATAAAGTATATTCACTGCTAAAAGCACAATACAGCAAAGTCAAGGAACAGTACGCTAAGCCTCTATTCTCAGAACGCTAGTAGGTAAGTCCTACCTAATAGAAGGCTGAGTGCACAAACACAGCGTGATACTTTTGAAAAGAGGGGAAAGTCACTGTGAGATTAGTAACAATCCATCTCATAATGCACACATTTGGAAATTTAAAGATGAGTATGAACTGGATAATGAAATAAATAAGTCATCTTGCAACAAAATCAAAAAGAGCAACAAAAACTCAGAATGAGGGGAGGAAAAGGCCCAGCCCTTTGCAAGAAGGTAAGGTGTTATGCCATTGCCAGTCTCCTCTGGAGCTGTGACTGAGCCTCGCTGCCATTCCCCTCCCCTGAAAAAAATCAGCCAACTTGCCCTGCTGGGTCCAGCTAGGCAGGCTCTATACTACGTTCATTTCCTTTGCCTTGTTTTTCTTCTCCCTCAAAGCCCAGTATTGCATCAAGTGCTGTTTGCTAGCAAGGAAAGCACGTACAACTCTCCCTCCTGAGAAATGCATGAGCAGGTTTTAAATACACATATGAAAAGGGAACCTGTAAAATTGTGCACAACACCCCCCCTCCCCAGATAATGCAGATACCCATCCTCTCCTACTGGGGCCCTACAATGTGGGGACAGCTCTGCACTTACAATCACGTCCTCCGTTCCCTGAGGCCAATGATGTTCCCCACGAACTCTTCTTCTTCAGCTCCAGCTGCTGGGTGCGTTCCATGGACCGCCGCATCATTGCCTCCAGCCGCTCCTGCCCAGTTCAAAGTGTTGGAGGTTAACAGAGAAAGAGACCAACACCCAGTCCTACTGCACTGCTGCGTCTCAATGCTCTGGATGAGTCACCAAATGGGGCTTTCTGTGCCCAGCATCCCAAACCCGGGCACACATGCTCTCGCCACCACACCAGTGTGTCCTTGGTGGGTAAGAGTAAACAATGCGGCTGAGCTAGCACTGGCTCTCCCGGCTGAACACTCTGTCCCTGTCTCCTCCTCTGTCCCTGTCTCCTCCCCGCCTTTCCCTGGGGAGAAGCTGCTGCTGCTGCTATGCCAGCCCTTGATTTGTTTAAGAATAATGCCCAACAAGCATTAACTCCTTCAGGCCTGTCTCAAGCTCCATCCTGCCCCACCCAGTAAGAAAATGGAAAACTGGCTCCAGAATACAGCTAAGGCCTTTCTAACTGAAAGCATGTAGCATTCTGATTTGAGTTTTAAATTAAAATATAATTTGAGGTTTAAAACTGATTTGGGGGAGATCTGGGGTGGGGAAGCAAAGGAAGGGGTGACATTGTCCAAAAATAATTGTACTCGTTACCTGACATATGGTGACCCCCCTCTGAACAATACCTTAGTAATAACAACAAAATCATACTTTAAAAATAAGATGAAGGGTCTGGGAAGGGGGCTCAGAGGTAGAGCGCTTGCCTTGCATGCGTGAGGCCCTGGGTTCGATTCCTCAGCACCACATAAGCAGAAAAGGCCAGAAGTGGCGCTGTGGCTCAAGTGGTAGAGTGCTAGCCTTGAGCTGAAGAGCTGAGGGACAGCGCCCAGGCCCAGAGTTCAGGCCCCGCGACCGGACTCCCCCACCCCCAAAAAAAATAAGGTGAAGTTTTAGTCTTTGTAGTCTTACATATAGCTCTTTGGGATAATATGAGACTTTGAGACTTATTTTACAAAGTCTCATTCTCATCTTAGAATTTCTCAAAGGCAAATCAATTGTTTTCTACATTATAGCAATTTTCAGCTAATAGGACTCAAGGGATAATCCTGCACATCTCAACATTTGCAAGATGAGGGTAAAGAACCTTCTTGCCACAAAATAAAGCAGCCATTCATTTCCAGAGTTAGAGGGGTGGGGAGAAAGAACGATGCAATTTTTAACCAGATAATTGAAAAACAACTTTCTCAGGTTTCTCTCTTCACAAAGGACTGATTAAAAGCACTCTCTTGTATTAAGCAAATTAACTTCCATAAAGTTGTCCTTGACACTGGAGAAAAGGCATCTTAATTCTGTACCTCACCACCTCAATGACACTGCAAATACCAGCTTGTCTCCCTGCCTCCACCGGAGCAAGGCCGGCCATTACACTGAGCTAATGAGGCTATTTCTATCTGACTCCATCCAGAACACAAAGACAGGATTTTTTCCCCTACCTTAATAAAAACAAGCAAGCAAAATACATTGAAGTATCCCTGACTTAACTATCAGGAAAAGGCTCTTTTACGTCACTTATTAGGAACAGGCATAGGTCACTCAGGAGGTCTGGATAGATCCCTCTGTGTCTACCAGAGGGATGAGAAGAACGAGTTGGCTTCTGCACATCTCAGCATCCTCTTCATAATTTTCCCTCGGTAACATTTTTCTAAGGTACTCTTGTTGAAAGTCTCTCCCAGAATGAGTAAGTATAGAAGGAGATATTTTTCCCCTTTTGTAAAACAAAGACTTGTTCTGGCTAGTAATTGTGCTCCAGTTTGGAGATGAGCAGCACTCTACAACCATGGTGAGTCTGCATTTCCTGGCTGTCCCACCATTATGACCCAGGGCTATTTCATTCTGTTGGCCAACACCAGTGGTCTGCCAAATAAAAGTTGACCGCCACCATTTGATGTCTGAAATAGGATCATTGGAGACTGGGACTGAATGGTAAATTCATTCTATAGATTTAACATACAGTAAGTAATGACCTAATTTAAGTGGTTAAACCTCACCCTACAGTACATTTGGTGTGGGGTGAGTTATGGTAGATTTCCTATATGCCGAAAGGACTTAACCAGAAGGTCCCAATGAGAAGGAAAAACACCACGTCTCACTGAGCCAACCACACTGTTGAGAGCTACCCAGGGGACAGTGTTATAAGGGATTGTTCAATAATCTTTAGAAACTACCTATGACAGCCGGGTGCCGGTGACTCACACCTGTAATCCTAGCTACTCAGGAGGCTGAGATCTGAGGATCGAGGTTCAAAGCCAGCCCAGGCAAGGAAAGTCCATGAGACTCTTATTTCCCATTAACCACCAGAAAACCGGAAGTGGCGCTATGGCTCAAGAGGTAGAGTGTTAGCCTTGAGCTGAAGAGCTAAGGGATAGTGCCCAGGCCCAGAGTTCAAGCCCCATAACCGACCAAAAAAAGAAAACTACCCATGCCATCCACCTCAAATCTGCCAAGCTGTTCCAAATGCCACCAAGAGATTGTGTCCTTTAGACCTTTTGTAGACTTAGGAAAATGGAGCTATCCCAGAAAGGAAGATACCCTCACTTTGTAGCATTCACTTGGGGAAAAAACAGGCAGCGACAAAATTCCAAGAGAAGGGGGACTCATGGAACCTGAAGAGGTTGAAATGGAGTAATTAAAACATTCTAAAAGCCAGATGCTGGTGGTTCACGCTTGTAATCCTAGCTACTCAGGAGGTGAGATCTGAGGCTTACTGTTCAAAGCCAACCCCGATTGGAAAGTCCGTGAGAGTCTTATCAGCAATTAACCACCAAAAAGCCAGAAATGATGCTGTGGCTCTAAGTGGTCAAGCACTGGCCTTGAACACAAAAGTTCAGTAACAGTGCCCAGGCCCTGAGTTCAAGCCCTACAATGTCCATATTGGGTCAGGAGGTCAGGTGATGAGCATGGGGCTTGATCAACCGAGGCCCTCTGAATGTGATTTTTGTTTAGATGAGCTCCAACGTTTCTTGTTTTATACTCTGCTTGGCAGTTTTGTTAGCTATAAGACAGTGAGAACATAAGCAGGTTAGATATAACAAACTAACATAAAGAAGACGAAGTTACTCTTCGAAAGAGCCCTTTCCTGGTCATCTGTTCAGTATAAGAAATGTGGAGTTTCTTCTCCTCTAAATCCTATCTCCCCTAACCCAGACTAGCTTGTTCCAGCAGCTCAACTCTGGACCTGTACAGAAGGTCGACATTGTAGGAACCCATCTTAGAGAAGGTGTTTTCCAATGAGAGAATAAATTCAAGTTCAGGTTCTCCAGTAGATACTATACCACACCTCAGCCCCAATTCCTCAGGACAAGCCTGAGTAGCCTTCAGTTTTTTGTTTTGTCAGTCATAGGGCTTGAACTCTGGGCCTGGGCGCTGTCCCTCAGCTCTTCAGCTCAAGGCCAGTGCTCTACTCCTTGACCCATACCGCCACTTCTGTTTTTCTGAGTGGTTTATGGGAGATAAGAGTCTCACGGACTTTCCCGCCCCGGCTGGCTTTGAACCATGATCCTCAGATCTCAGCCTCCTGAGTAGCTAAGATTACAGGTGTAAGCCACCAGCACTGGGCTGCTGTCAACTCTTGGGAGTTAGGCTTTGTTCTGCATTGAGATGAGGGAACACTATGATAAACAGTCCTGCAGAAGCTGAATTCAAGTGGTTTAACCTCCAGATAATGTTCTATTTGCTTCTGTGCTTACTTACATTCCTACTGCGGTAGGGAATGCAGAAATATCACTCACTTCTACCTTGGTAGAGATATGAGGTCTTTTACCAAGAACAACATTGTGGCAAACACAGTGATAAGGAGGCAGGGGAGGGCCACATTTCGTGTAGCAATTGGCTTCTTGTGTTCTCCTAAATACCAGACCTGGGGAGGGAGGATCTGTTAGGCAACACATTTTCCAATAGGATGGAGAAGCAAAATGGCCTGCACAAGAGGCTTTTTCTTGGTTGAGTCAAGATGCAACAAAAAAAGACTTAAATTGAGCATCGAGAAGAGAATCAAGAGTCTCTACATCTAAGTGCTGAGCATGCAACCATCTTCACAGAGCTCTCCAAGAAGCATTGTAGTGATCACAGACAGCTGCTTTTGGATTGGTATTTCCACAGTGAAGATGGATCCTGTTATCCTAAAGAACACCCATGAAGTCACTAAATAGGGCCTCAGTACGGGTAATGCAGCCAAACACTGATGTGATTGCACTGGACAGCCTGTATGCGGCAAGGGCCCAATCTACGCCTGGGTCTCCTGGGGTCCAGAGGGTAGGAGCAGATGGCAGCAGAAAGCTTCTCCTTCCTTAGGTGGCTACACAACCTTGGGAAGCCCAGCTCTAAACCTAGTCCTGCCTTTTCAGGCTGTACCATCCTGCACCCAAGGAGAAGAGAAAGGCAAGCTCAGCTTGTGTTTATGCTGACAAGGGTCAGACAGCATTCCCCCTGCCCCCTCCATCGTAGAGGTGCAAGGAAGCACAGTACCAAGTAGAAGACTTGCCAGAAGTGAAATCAGTAGACTCAGCTGCATCAGGACCAACCATCTGGCATGTATTCCCTCATCTGCAAGGGACTGACTGCTTGATTTGACATGCTTCCAGCCCTGCTGATGAAGGGTAATGCTACACAGGAATTGCCTCCCAAGTGGACCCTGTGATATGGAGGATGTGTGAGAGAAGGAAAGCATCTAATGTGATGATTCTTAGTGCTCCTTCCTGCATGCGGCAGCGATGAGCTTTCTCATGAATCAGCAAGATGTGAGGAATGGAAATGAAGAGACCAGGGACAGTGGGCACAAGTTCTAAGTCATCAAGAATGGAGGATAAGAAGAAAATGGGCAAATCTAGGGACTCATGAGAAAGATACAAGTTGAAAATGGGAATTCTGTCCCAAGTAACCAAAACAGCTTCTCACACTGTGGCTTTTGTTTTGTTTTGTTTTTTATAATCTATACACTTGGTGCCACAATTCCTTCTAGGTACTTCTCTCCTGACCTTGCTACAATCTCTAAGGTCAGCTGAAATAATTGGCCGGAATGTCACATTTCTGAGTGATTACTCTGTACTAGATGCTTTGTTGGGCACTTTCACAAAAGTCATCTACTTTCATTCCTGGGACCATCTTGGGAGCTGAAGAGAGAGAGAGAGTTAGACAGGTTTTTGGCCATTTTGAGGCCTGAGCTGAGCAGATAAAGCCACAGCCATCACGCTGCAGGCAGCAATGGTGAGCCATGATTAAGAGCTTTGTTTAGATCTTCACTTGCTTAAGACGAACAGAGAGATCACCATAAGCAGGTGTATCATGAGCAACGATGTATCTCATTGTGTATGCTTGTGCAGATGTTTTTATGTGCTCTTGAAATAAAAAGGAAGTGGGAAGTCAAATAATAGTGACAGACAAGCATTCAGAGATAGTAAAAATACTAAATTTATACAAATATCTTGAGATACCACCTCACCCCAGTTAGAATGGCTAAAATCAAGAACTCTAATAACAACAGATGCTGGAGGGGATGTGGACAGAAGGGAACCTTACTGCATTGTTGGTGGGAGTGTAAACTTGTTCAACCACTTTGGAAAGCAGTATGGAGGTTCCTCAAAAGACTCCACATAGAGCTCCCCTATGACCCAGCAGTCCCACTTTTGGGCATTTACCCAAATGCTCACAAACAAGACCACACTAAAGCTACCAGCACGACTATGTTTATTGCAGCATTATTTACTAGAGCTAAGATATGGAACCAACCTAGATGCCCCTCAGTAGATGAATGGATCAAGAAAATGTGGTATATATACACAATGGAATTCTATGCCTCCATCAGAAAGAATGACATTGCCCCATTTGTTAGGAAATGGAAAGGCTTGGAAAAAATTATATTAAGTGAAGTAAGCCAGGCCCAAAGAAACATAGGTCCCATGGTTTCCCTTATTTGCAATATCTAGTACATGTCTGAGTCAAGCAGAAAAGTTCAGATAAGGTGATGTTAGGGAAATGAACCCTAAGATATGTATTCAAATTTTTTTCTTTCATGCGATTGTTTCTAACACATTTATAAGATGATTTCTTTGTTGCTATGTATGTCCCTCCCCCACAGTATAACCCCTGCTTTCACTGTATTTGATGTCAGTATAATTTGAGGAGGGGAAGGGGAAAAACAAATCGTTTAAATAGGGATACAGGTAGACCCATTGCAACAATGAGATGTACAAGTCGTATGTAGAAAACGAACTTTACAACTTTGGTGCAGGGGGGGCGGGGAGGGTTGGGTGGAGGGGCAGGAGAAGGATGGGAAGGGATGGGAAGCGGAAACAAAAGAGGAGGCTACAATGCTTGATAAGAAATTTACTCATTATCTTGTAACCCCTCTGTACAGTATTTTCACAATAAAAAAAGGAAAAAAATAAATTTATACAAAAATCTTTGTATCCCATTGTGGAGATTTCTAAACTGCTATATTGTTAACATTAAAACTTGAGTCATGATTATTACCTGATTCAAGGCTATGACTGTATCCTCAAAATATACTTGGTAAGGGCTGGGAAGGTGGCTCAGTGGTAGAGCGCTTGCCTTGCATGCATGAAGCCCTAGGTTTGATTCCTCAGTACCACATAAACAGAAAAAGCCAGAAGTGGCCCTGTGGATCAAGTGGTAGAGTGCTAGCCCTGAACTGAATATCTGAGGGACTGTGCCCAGGCCCAGAGTTCAGGTCCCATGACCAACAACAAAAAATAATTACACACACACACACACACACACACACACACACACACACACACACACACTTGCTAGCTGGGCACTGGTGGCTCACACTTGGAATCCTAGCTACTTAGGAGACTAAGCTCTGAAGATCATGGTTTGAAGCCAGCCCAGACAGGAAAGGTCATGAGACTCTTACCTCTCTAACCATCAAAAAGTCAGAAGTAGGGGCTGGGAAGGTAGCTCAGTGGTAGAGCGCTTGCCTTGCATGCATGAGGGTTCGATTCCTCAGCACCACATAAGCAAAAAAAAAAAAAAAAAAGCCAGAAGTGGTGCTGTGGCTCAAGTGGTAGAGCGCTAGCCTTGAGCTGAAGAGCTGAGGGACAGCGCCCAGGCCCAGAGTTCAGGCCCCACAACTGGACCCAAAATAAAAAGTCAGAAGTAGAGCTGTGGCTCAAGTAGTAGAATGCCAGCCTTTAGCAAAATACCTAGGGGACAACATCCAGAATCCAAGTTCAAGCTCCAGTACCGGCACAGAAAAAAAGAAAATCTATAATCCAAATATGTTTTTTTGGTTGAAGGTAGTATTAGGGCTTCTACTCAGGGCCTTGTCATTACTAGGCAAGCAATCTAACTCTTGACCCACATCTCTAGCCCCCAAATATGCTTCCTAAATATACTCTCAGAGGGTAGCAATGAAGGCTTCTGTAGGAAATAACTGCTTTCCTTCTATTTTTTTTAAAAAAGGTAACTGAAAAGAAAGGATAATTAAAGCAATGGACTACAATAAAATTGACATGCACAACCATCTTTGCGTTTGTAGGTAAGCTAATTTTCCAGTGGTAAATAGGAGTTACTCTTGACTCTCACAGCTCAGGCTCAGGCCTCATGGGTGCTGTGGAAGCATGAGCTCCCACTGAAATCCTCTGCTCTCCACCCCCAGCCCTGTCATAATCCCTGCATCTTAGTCAGAAAAGGTTATTATACCTGGAAACAGTCTCGAACACCACCAAATCTACCCCTCCACTGCACACAAGCAAAACAATCAAGACTCAAACTTAGCCAAGTTCACACACAGCAAAGTAGTTCCTAAGTCAAATGGGCTAGGTCTGTTTGCTCCTAGCAGTACAGTTGCTACTGGATCACTGTGTCACGGTGCTGGAAGAAGGTGATATGAGACAGGACAAGGTTCCAGGAGCGAGTCTCTCCCATTCTCCAGAGCCGGGCAGCAAGCCTGCACGCTCTGAGCACTATGACCTAGCTCAGCTGCCAGTGTGTCTGGGGCGGTAGGCTCATGGGACCTCACCTCCTCCTCCCGGAGCTTCTGCTTCCTCTTCTCTTCCACAGCAGCTCTCTTCTGGTCCTCACGCTGCCTTTGTTCCTCCATCTTTCGCCATCGCTCCTCAATTTGCTTTTCATATTGGATCTTGGCTCTTTTCTCTTTCTCTAGGATCTGCTGCTCCCGGGCAGCTGGAATGGGAAAGCAGAAGAGAGGTGTGATGCTTAGAGCAATCCAGGTGGGTTAACTGAGACCAAGGACACAGAAGTGAAGAGTCTGCTGGAATGAAGGCATGCAGTGATTGAGAGCAAGGCACCTCTGCCACTAGCTGGATGGCTTGGGGGCATGTTAACTATGTCATTTGTCTGCCTCGCTTTCTTAGTGAAAGGGGGACAGTAATGTTTGCTACATCACACTATGACAGAGATTAAAGGAGCAAGTATACAATGAGTGCCCCCCACCATGGGAGCTATGACTCCCGTTGCTATCATTGAGTGAAACTTGCACACACTAGCAAAGTCATATACTAGCTAGAGAAATGATAGCTACAAGAATACATTTATTCAGGGCTGGGAAGGTGGCTCAGTGGTAGAGCACTTGCCTTGCATGCATGAGGCCCTGGGTTTGATTCCTCAGCACCACATAAGCAAAAAGAATCAAAGCCGGAAGTGGCGCTGTGGCTCAAGTGGTAGAGCGCTAGCCTTGAGCTGAAGAGCTGAGGGACAGCGCCCAGGCCCAGAGTTCAGGCCCCACGACTGGACCCCCCCCAAAAAAAGAATACATTTATTCAAAAGATAAGGTTAACTGTGCGGGCACTAAGCAGTGAGCTGAACAAAAGGTCAAAATACACACATTGTTGGGGGGAGGTGGGGAGGGAAGGGATGGTAGGAGAACAACAAAGGAGGGGTAACAATGCTCCATAGGAAACGTAGTCATCGCCTTACTCATGTAACTGGAACCCCTCTGTACAGCATCTTTACAATAAAATACGAATTTTTAAAATACACAAAGAAGACTGGTATTCTTACCACGCCAGTACTTACTAAGAAGCTCTTAACTCTATCTGTCAAACTAGACAAGGCTAAGGAGGAAGAACTTCAAAGATCCTTAGGTGTCTCAATTCCTTAAGAAAATCACCATCAACCTATCTCAACTACCCTGTCCTGGGGTGGTCTGTACTGCCTACAAGAGGGAGAGTCTTCGACTAGGCACCCTGTTCTAATGCAGAAAATGACTTCCGTGATGATTTTTCTCGATTTTTTTTTTTTGATCAGTCGTGGGGCTTGAACTCTGAGCCTGGGTGCTGTCCCTGAGCTCTTCAGCTCAAGGCGAGTGTTCTACCACTTAAGCCACAGCACCATTTCAGGTCTTCTGGTGGTTTATTGGAGATAGGAGTCTCACAGGTGGGCGGGCTGGCTTTGAACCATGATCCTCAGATCTCAGCCTCCTTAGTAGCTAAGATTACAGGCATGAGCCACCGGTGCCTGGCTTCAATTCTTCTCATGATGGCCCTTCTAGATGCCCCAAAGAGAAGCTGGCCATCTACCCTTGAGGACATTAGGACTTTCCCAAGTCAGGCATGATGACTGGTTTTCTTTTCTTTGTTTGAATTTGTAGCTTCTCTTGTCAAGGTGATCCCACTGGGGTTAATTACAGAAATGACGTAGTGACTACATTGTGTGTGGAGCTTTTACCCTCCCTCATTTTTCTCCCTCTTTCCCTCCCTCACATCACCCCACCCACGTTGCACAGATCATTTCCAGCAGTGTCTTGTGAGTATCGCTGTGGCATTGGTTCCCCCTTTGTCGTTTGTCCCAGCCTTCTGTTGTTCCCCTTCCCTTCCCTGATTCAGATAAACGAATAGACTGCTTTTCTTTACCACCACGTCTACAGGGAGCACCGGGCACAGGACCCAGCAGAGGTCCACTATGTGCTGAGAGAAGCGTTCGGAGGGTGAGGCAGTCGTTTGAACACGCCAGTCACGCTTCGTGTGGATGGAGGGCAGTCCCGCTTCTCGTCCCATTTACTGACAGATGTTTAAGGCCTTTGGAAAAAAAACATGACCACATCTCCACTTCTTTGAACCTAGTGAACCAAAGTAGAGAACTTACCCAGACATTTTTCTCTTTCTTCTCGTCTCTCTTTAGCTAATCTTTGTCTCTCATCGGATTTTAAAAATCCATCCATAGCTGCAAGAGAGAAAACAAAATATGATTTTTTTTTAAATTTGGATTTTGTCAGTTATGGGGCTTGAACTCTGGGCCTGGACGCTGTTCCTCAGCTCTTCAGCTCAAGGCTAGCGCTCTACCACTTGAGCCACAGCGCCACTTCCAGTAGTCTGGTGGCTTATTGGAGATAAGAGTCTCACAGACTTTCCTGCCCAGGCTGGCTTTGAATTGTAATCCTCAGCTCTCAGCCTCCTGAGTAGCTAGGATTACACGCGTGAGCCACCAGCGTCCATCCTAAAATATTATTTTAACTTTTTCTTTTTTGGTCGGTTGTGGGGCTTGAACTCTGGGCCTGGGCGCCGTCCCTCAGCTCTTCAGCTCAAGGCTAGCGCTCTACCACTTGAGTCATAGCACTTCTCGTTTTCTGGTGGTTTACTAGAGATAAGAGTTTCACGGACTTTCCTGCCCAGGCTAGATATCAATCTCAAGCCTCAGATCTCAGTCTCCTGAGTAGCTAGGATTACAGGCGTAAGCTACCGGTGCCCAGCTTTCTGGTTTTAACATTTGACATATTCCCTGTCAGCTGAGTGCTAAAGCCAGCTAGGCACACAGCATGCATCTGGCTATATATATACATATCATCCATCACCATCGGTTCACCCCACCACACTTGCGCAGGCCCCAACAGCCAAGGGACAGTAGCTGCAGCTTTCTGAGTGTTCCTGTAATAGCAACCACACCAGCCCAGGAGAACCAAGCCCATTCCCTAATCCTCTGTTCCCACGCCTGACCTTCAAGGGATCAGAAAGTACAGTAATTGACCCAGAGGCCTGGCAGTGTGCAGAGAAGCTCGCCGGGCCTCTTCTAGCCTTGCTCCCAGATCTTAGGGAGCAGCACCTAAGGAAGAGAAAAAGCCCCCAAATGGACAATATTTTGGATACCAATTATTACAGATGGTGAATATTTTTTTTTAGCAGTCCCATGCTGAGTAACACAGCGAGCACTTGAGGAGAGCACTGTGAAACGGAATGCTCAAGTCGGATTTGGGCTGTGCCAAGTTTGCTCTGATGCCAATCTCAGAATCACAAAGGAGGAATGAATATAATATATCCCCATGTATTTGTCATTCAGATGCCTAGAAATAATATGGACAGCTCTCTCTCTCTCACACACACACACACACGTGTACACACATGCACACACACAATCCAAGTATCCCTGGTGCTCAGTATCTCTACTCACCCCCTATAGGATCCCAACAGGCTTTGCAAATTATAGATTAAATGGCTCTTCATGGTTTTTTTAAGATTAGAAATAATTTACTACCCTCTGTTACAATTGGCTTTTAAGCACACCATTATGGAGAAGTACGCTTTAGTGCTAATGCAAGCACACTCACATTCCTGGGGCCTAGGCGTTCCTCTCTGGGAGCATCACTAATTTCACAGAATGACTCGCTGCCATAGCAACTTGCACTCCTTTCAGGGAAGCCCTTGCCTTTTGATGTCTAGGAAAGAGGCCCCGGAAGCCAGGCCTGCAGTGTAAGTAGCAGTAATCCTTCCCCACGTTCAAAGTTCCCCATGTGCATTTGGTTTTCCAGGTTGTATTATGTGTTTGGGATATGAAAGCTTGAGACAGAGGTACTACAAAACCCTCTCAGGGTCTGCAAGTCCCATTCTCCATGTTTGTTTTCTGCAAGCCCTTAATTAGTATAAGGTTCCCCAAAACATGAATGTGATTATGAATTTAAAGGCCAAGCCGGGCACCAGCAGCTCACGCCTATAATACTAGCTACTCAGGAGGCTGACACCTGAGGATTGCAGTTCGAAGCCAGCCCAGGCAGGAAAGTCCATGAGACTCTTACCTCCAATAAACTACTCAGACAAAGTTGGAAGTGGTGCTGTGGCTCAAGTGGTAGAGCGTTAGCTTTGAGCAAAAGAAGTTCAGGGACAGCACCCAGGCCCAGAGTTCAAGCCCCAGGACCAGGAAAAAATAAATTTAAAAAAGGTCAAACTTGACCGGGCACTGAGGGCTCACACCTGTCATCCTAGCTACTCAAGAGGCTGAGATCTGAGGATCACCGCTCAAAGCCAGCCCAGGCAGGAAAGTCCCTGAGACTCTTATCTCCAATAAACCACCAGAAAACCAGAAGTAGTGCTGTGGCTCAAGTGGTAGAGCGCTCGCCTTGAGCTGAGGAGCTGAGGGACAGCGCCCAGGCCCAGAGTTCAAACCCCACAACAGACAAAAAAAAAGTCAAACTTCTCAATCCAGGACAATGTGACTCACTTCAGCTCTGCCTTTCCTCCTTCATACCTTCTGGCTGACACTATGCGTCCTGCCCCTCCCATTCTCATACCCCCCTTCCTCATCACACTTGCCACATTTGTTTAAACTCCACCCGCCTCCAAGACCCCACAGTCCCTCAGATCCCTGATATCCTGCATTCAACAATTTCTGGAAGCCTTATTTCATCTTCCTTTCCCACAAAGATCTCTGGAATTCGGTCTCCCCTGGTGAGCCCGAGAGCCACGGATGGCTGACTTACGGCTAGGTCTCCTCAGGTTCAGCCCCAGTCCCTTCCCCACTGGCTCTGAGGTGCACACACAGGGCTCCAAAGGCAGGCAAGAAGTTAGTGACAGGGGAGCAGGGGGACAATCTCCCTCACGCTTTCAGGTTCTAGTGTCTACTTCATGAGTTACATTAGTATGAATTTGTTGGGTGCAAGAAGCTTTAAAGTCGAGAATGCCTGAGGTTTTCTTCCCTTTAGCATCCACACCAACCTACCCACCCAAGGTGGTCCCAAGCCCCACTCTGACACTGTTTTGATGTTAAAAGACCTACTACTCATACCTAACGCAAACCTGAGAATGGCGCAGTGTTCCATGGGCCTGGTCTTATGCTGCCCCCTTGTGGACACGTGTAAGAGTTACACCTTCAAATTCTTTCCTTCATCATGTTCATGGTCATCACGTCATTATAATGAGAGGATGATAAAGCAATTCTGCTTGGATTTACTGTGCCCAACCCGCCTATGATGACATAGGTACTATTATAAGTCTCATCTTTACAAGTGCAGAAACAGGGAACAGAGAGGTTAATTGACTTGTCCAGGGTTGTACCATCAGAAACAGAGAAAGCCAAATTCTAATGTGAGAACTTGACTCTAACACCCATACTCTCCATCACTTTTCCAAAAGGAAAATATAGAGGCACTCTGACCCAGTGAGGTGCATAGGAAACAAATCCTGTCCTGGTCCCAAGAATAATAAGCCTGCAAATCGGGAGAGGAGAAATGTGCCTAAATCATTGGAGAAGTATAAAATAGGCAATACTGTGAGCCAGCTGAGCACAGATGTGGCAACTGCCCACACGCTCATCTGCTCCCTTCTCACACTGATGGCATGGAAATGTACTCAGGAGTTCACGGATGCTGATAGTGGGTGGGGAATGAGGGTAGCCAGAGGACCCTGGGTATAACTGTCTCTACTTGTTTGTGGCAAGCAATTCAGCTTTGCCCCACTGAAGGGGATGGAGTGACTCAAACAGCCTAACCTGGCTAGCCGGGAATCTCTGTGCTGTTCAGTTGGTAGTCACCAACTACATATAGCTGTGTCAGTGTAAACGAATCAAACCAAGTACAAGCTCAGTTCCTCAGGCACGTGGGGCACATTTGAAGCACTCAAATGTGTGCGTAGCTACCCTACTGCTCCGTGGTAAATGAGAAGCCTGCTGGCACACTCCTGATTCCATTCAAGTGTAGCTGCTCTGAGGCAGATGTAGAAAAAAGAAAGAAGGAAGGGGCTGGGAAATTGGCTCAGTGGTAGAGTGCTTGCCTTGCATGCCTGAGGCCCTGGGTTCGATTCCTCAGCACCACATAAGCAAAAAGAAAAAAGCTGGAAGTGGTGCTGTGGCTCGTGGTAGAGTACTAGCCTTGAGCTGAAGAGCTGAGGGACAGCGCCCAGGCCCAGAGTTCAGGCCCCACGACTGGACACAAAAAAAAAAAAAGAAAGAAAGAAGGAAGATCAGGGCTCAGTCAGAGCTGAATTTTTCTGGAAGAGTAAGGCTGAGGTGGGGCCTCTCGGTTCCACTACACAGCAGTAAGTCTCTCCTATTCAAATGACTAGCAAACGTCCCGAGAACAACCATTTAATGAGCCAAATCACCTGCACTGCCAGCCGCTGACAAGAGACCCCTTTCCTTCATCCCAGGGCAAAGAGAGGTGCAGCATAAACTAGACGGCCGTGGACTTGATCTGGTATCACCATTATCACAACAAGGTCAGATTTAAACCAGTAGGAATCATGGTAAACTACCATGAACACCCATACCAGGAGATGCTTCCTGAAGATGCAAGATACATTAGACTCAAGGGTTAATGCTGAATTCAATTTGTGTCTGTGTGTGTGTAGTCCTAGGGCTTGAACTCAGTGCCTGGCCATTATCCCTGAGCTTCCTTTGCTCAAGGTTATCTCTCTCCACAGTGCCACTTGGGGCTTTTTTTGAGTAGTGTATGGAGCTAACAGTCTCATGGACTTTCTCCTACCTGGGCTGGCTTTGAACTGCAATCCTCAGATCTCAGCCTCCTGAATAGCTAGGATTACACGCATGAGGCACCAGCGCCTGGCCCCATGTGTCTTTTAGGTATACAATTATTGTTTCTCTTTTAAAATCAGGGGCCCAGCGTTATCTTGATCACATGAGAACAGGCAGATAATCAAACCGTGCTCTTCAGGGGGTCGGGGGACAGGAAGAAAGAAGTAGGAAGCTATAAAGAGCATTAGAAGAGGTCCCAGTAGTGATGGAAACATTCTGTCTTGACTGAACCACTGGCAGCACCATGGTTGTGATACTGCACTCCGGTGTTATAATAATGCATTCCCCCTGAGGGAGGCCATTAGAATTAGGGTATGCAGGGCCGTCTCTCTGCAACATTTCTATTAAGTGCTTGGGAGTCAACAGTGACCTCAGCATAGAAAAGCTTAACTATGGAGAAAACCAACCTGGTTCAAGGAAGATGCTCC